GATGGGTCCGACACAAAGAACTACTTTGCATGGGTCCTACTGCGCTGATTTTCTTTTGATAGCGCTTACAGGCCCAATTCAATACAGTTTCAGTTCATAACGTCAACATTGATATTGTAAACTGATGATAGTTATTACGAACTTGTCTTATCGGTAACACAAAAACCAAGAGAATAAGCATCCGTTTCTCGTCCTTTGTTATGAGCATTCCGCTACGAACTCTCGCATGTCTGTTTACTGGCAGAGGTTGTAAGGGCGCGCCGCTCTTTGTCCCAATCGGGCGATGCACAATCATCTTCACTATCCAACTTACGTACCCAGTCGAGCTCCTCACTCGAAGAGAGGGGCAAACGGTATTCCCCTTTGGTAAACCATGTCTGCTATATAAGACACATAAAACTCCAGGCAGCACAGCAACGCAAGCGGTGCATCAGTATCTCTCTCATTCGTTCTTCCACGAATCTTTCCTCTTCCACTTGGACACTCTTTTCGATGTCACAAAACATTTCCTATGAGAGTTGCTTCGTTTGCTTCGTACACTCCTAAGTACTTTTCCTGATGTATGTTAACCTCCTTTTATTTCCGACAGTCATTGGAAGTGCCTAAAATAGGCATAATCGCGTTCACAGGTAAAACAATCGTGCACTTTCGACACATTTATTGATACTCTATTTCATACCAACCGTTTCTTCTTGCGTCTTTTCTTACTTTTGGTTCATAATTCAAAGTCCAGTTTAGACTACTGGTCACTTATCCGTTGACGTGAGTAGTTCTAAGTTTTTACTTAGTTAAAAGGCGTGTTCTAACAAATAAAATAATACTTTCTTCTCTTTCCTTCCTCTCTCACTCGCGGTCCACGTTAATCGCGGTATCATAATTTTGTAGTCGGGGGCATTCAACCATTTCTTTCAAGTATTCCACCGTTTCCCTCATCTTGTTCTACTTCATGGGGAGTATCGCGCAGCTCGACCCCGCTCGCAATCTGCTATATATTCAGATATCACTGTACATGAAACTTCACTTTATGTGACAGTTTTAGTTTCAGCTCCCGCTGAAGCTTACCGATAAGCTACAGTATCCTCCCCTCTCAGTGGTTGACTCCGCCCCTTTTCCGCTTATCAGCGACCACGCAGGTCACTCGGTCATTGTCTACAGTTCGTTCCTTGAACTCATACGCTGTTTCATTTGCTCTCTCTTTTTCTTCATGGGTCCGCCGACGACAAGGTCTCGAGCCAACTCACCGGACTCTAGGGCAATTGCCTCGACGCAAAGAACTGCTTACCCCACGGCCTCCGATCAGCTCGCAGGCGTCTTGGGAGATGTCGACGATCAAGCTGAAGTTCTGGGGCGTGATGCTAAGCGCCTGCGTGGTGCGACGGTGTTTGCCATTGCTGAGGCTCGGGAAGATGCCAGATCCGAGACCGCTCACCTCTCCCAGAATATCAACGAAGGTAACGAGGTTCTGTTATCCGATTTGAACCAATCTTTTGCCGCCGTGGGGGAACGTATCAACTCGCTCCCGATGGTAGCGAATCCCACTCCAGACGGGTCTTTGCTCAGGGCTATTCCTTTTACTGGCTCCGGGGAGGACCCAATGCAGTTCTCTCCATGGCTTAGACGCCTAGAAGACGTGATGAGAATGAAGTCACTTGGACCAAGAAGGTGTTTTTCTCGATTGGTCATCTTGATGGAGTTGCCCGCGAAAAGATCGAGGAACTGTCGAATGAGGAACGTGAAGACTACTCGACAGTCGTGGCCCACCTCAAGCAGTCCTTCAAAGGTCCTCAATATAGATAAATGGCTCGCCAATCTCTGGCGTTCTGTCGACAACAGGTCGGCGAATCAGCAGCGATATTCGCCAACCGCCTGCTGCTCTTGGTTAGACCAGCTATGACTGGTCATGACCCGGCTAGACAGAAGGAACGCGTTCTCGAGGAGTTCGTAGCCAGGCTTAGACCGGACATACGTTATTACGTCAAGCCGGATAATCCGGCGACATTCGAGAAGGCCGTTGCGAAAGCCCAGATGGTGGAGCAGTTGTTAGCAGAAGCCACAGCAGATCGCCTTATACGAACATCGCAGCCAGCGCAACCCATTGAGGTGAAGGCAGCCATAGCCCCGCGCAGGGATAATAGGGGGCCCCGCCGCGACAAGCGTCTCCCGCCTAGAGCTCGCACCTCTTATCAATCGTTGCAGGGTATTCGGGGTATTGGACCTCAGAACCTGGCATACTCGCTCCTACATGCTTCAACTGCGGCAGATCCGGACATTATTCTCGAGTTTGCCCTGCGCCACGCGCTAATCGACGTCAGTCAGGTACAGGTTCTTTTTTCTCTCGTCCTCAGAGACGTTCTCGTACTTCTAATTTTCTTCTTCTCGTAAAACCGATCACGATTTGCGACAGGCTCGTGAGCAAATCAGTGCATTTCGTTGCGCGAGAACCAATCGGCTCTCGAGTATTCCGACGCTAGGGTAAATGCTCTCATCAAACGTAATGAAGAATTTGCAAATTCTGCTTTCGATAATTCGGTTACATCGCGTTCATCCTTCTCTCATTCTGCTTCACAAGTTAAACTTTTATTATCTATTTGTGTATTGCTATGTTTTGGTTATTCAGAGGCACCAGCGTGGCTTTGCCCACGCGATCCAGCCGATTCTGATTCTTTCGTTCGTACTCCTCTTTCTTACAACTGCTCACGCATTATGCCGAATCTTAATGAAAAACTCAGTTCCTTATCGGTTCAAGTTTATCGTCCTAACACTAAACGATATGATACTCCTGCTTCATTGTGTAAAATTATTTCTATGACTATCACATATTCCGTGAACTTTTTGGGGCCCGCTATGAGAGCCGTAGCGAAGTACCATCCATGGTTTCTTTCGAAGAATGTAAGCTCATGATAATCCATCATAAATACAAACATGGAGTGATGTCACAATCCGAAAATATTTGGTCCACTTCTATTAAAGCCGAAATTAAGTGGCCCTCGGCTCCGTTTGGGTGTTGTACTGACCACGTAAAATCGGTCTCCAACTGCATCGTCGTTCCGACAGTCGTCCATATGCGCCACGACTCAACCGCTCCCGACTCCCCCATCGGTAATTTGGCCCACTGTGACTATACTTCCGGAACTTGCCTCCTTAAGGACGGATCCATGCTTTTATGGACTCCCGACAAAGAAGAAGAGTATCGTTTTCTCCCTGTCATGAAAATGCGAGGGCACCGTCTAGGAGACATCTGGATCAATGACTCCAGAGAATTTGCTCTGTCCTGGACTGACTCCAGTGATCGTGTCAAAGATTGCGGAGCCGACCTCACTGTTTCCGACCAAGGTTCGCCATCGCCACAGTGACCCGGAGAACACGTTCGTCTGATTCCAAGGCCGGGGTCGTAACTTCAAATCAACTAGCGGCCCAACTTCTGGCAGTGGAAGGATCAATTAGCTCAGCAGTTGCGACACTGTTTCGCCATGCTCTTTCAGCATTGTGCGATCGCACTAATCTGTTAGCGTTCGCACTTCACACCTCGTTGGCCATTGATCCTACCTTAAGGTCCGTAATCTTCTGAATAGAGACAACATCGCCGTCACGTTTTTGGGCAACGACCTCCTTCAGATTCACCGCTGTATGTTAGTTCCTTCTCGTGACTTCCGACTCGTTCCGTTCAACAGCACGTGCTATACCAAGCCTATCGCCGAATCACCTTTCCTGGAGGTTCTACAGTTCATTCTTTTATTGACACGTCCACTCTGGTTCTGTCTCACGAGGCCCCCTACAGCCCCATGCGCCGAAGCGAACACGTTCTATTTTGCTCAAGGAGCGTCCTACTTGAAGTTTAATACGGTAGCTGGAACATCTGAAACCGCCTCCATTAGGAACGTAGGTTTTCCTAGCGGATTAAACGCATCGACCATAGCTCGCCCGCTCACTACTTCCCAAAACCTCATTCTGACCAATTTAAGTGAGCTCATTCAAGACCACCAGTGGTCGGAACTATGGTCGTCCGTCTCCTCGGAACAACTTCTCCGCTTAGCTTCCTCTCCATCGCAATCGCCTTCTCAGAGCACCGTCAGCATACCGTCCTTTTCTTTCTCATTTTGGTCTCTTCTTTTTGGATCATGGTCTCCATTTGAGGTCTGGGTAGCCCTGTGCTGCGCTGTGGTCTCAACGAGCATTCTTCGGACGCTTATAGTCTCATACTGCAACTTGTNCTATCCAGGCTGGCAGATCCGACTTCGGGAACTCCTTTCCTTCAAGAGCTCTACCGTTCGTCAAGAGGCGGCAATTCCACTCACCTCGTTCCCTGTTGTTTCTCCGGTACTCCCCACGGTATCTGCTCGTGATCGCGACCATATCGGATTGGCTCACGTGGAAATTGACGCCACCAATGCGTGGCCGCCTCGCACATCGATCGCTCAAGTCGACGTGTTATACCTGTCCGATCGAGATCGATTCTTCGTGACGCAGATACCAATCAAGGTAAACGGTATCAGGGTATTAGCCGTAGTCGACACCGGTGCTTCTATAACCATCACGACCGCAGCAACCGCACCTTTGCTGGGCGTCTTCTCCATGGAGGAGAGCGACGTAACTAGCGCCGTTGGTGTGGCCGGTGTACCAGTGCGCCTCCTTGGATGCGCCTCTCTCGCTTTCGAAATTGGCTAGTTGACTTTCGATCACCCTGTGTTCTTCACCGACTCCGCCTGTATACCGATGCATACAACATTATCCTCGGCAATGACCTTCTTCGCAAACTGCCTCCTTGAACCATCGATTATGCTACTCGCACCTTTTCTATGGCTAACCAACAGGTCCAAATATTGTGTACATCTCCGGCGGAAAATGACCAAACCAATGACCAATCGGTTACCGTTCGAGTAGCTGAAACAACGGTGCTGCCGCCATCTGCAGAAACATTCGTTCGCTGCACCAGAGGCTTAACCGACGAAGCTCCGTTGATGTTAGTCTCTCAAAATGAGAAATTGGCAGAGAAGTCTATTATGGTTACGCCAGCCGTAGTACGTTCCGCTAACCCACTTCTATTGGTAGCCAACCCTTCTCCAACAGCCGAAACCTTGTTAAAGAACAGCAGATCTCTGCAGCAGTTCTTCTTCATCGTTCTTCAACTTAGTCAACTTAGTCCTTTTTCCGACGCGCCGTCTAATTCTTCCCCGTTTGTGGGACAAATAACGCCCAGGGCGGTGCACCCCGATACGGAGAATTATTTCGAGGCTTAACGCACTGACCTCTCTCAGGCAGAGGTCTCTGATGCAGAACGACAGCAGCTCACTGACCTTTTTAATGAATTCAGAGATAGAATTTCCACCGGATCATATGACTTAGGGTCCTAACTCCATGGATTCATAATACGGTCCTCGTAAAGAAGAAAGATGGGTCCCTCAGGGTCTGCCTAGATTTCCGACCGCTCAACAGCATTACCATTCCGGACCACTACCCCTTACCCAGAATCGACGACATTCTAGCCAAGATATCTGGTCATAAGTTCTACACTACGTTCGATTTAGCGTCAGGATACATGCAGCTCCGTTTATCTCCTGAAAGTCAAGCGAAATGCGGATGGGCTACTCACCGTGGCATTTACCAATTTGTTTACTTACCTTTCGGACTGAAGAATGCAGGCGCTTACTTCTCTTGAGCGATGGCCCCCATCTTGGCCGGCCTTGAAGGGAATTGTTCGGATTATCTAGATGACATCGTAATCTTCGACAAGGACTTCCCAAGCCATTTGGAATCCCTACGCAAAGTCTTCTATAGATTCCGTCTTCATAACATCAAAGCCTCCGGCAAAAAACCTGCTGAGATCGCTCGTTCGCGCATCAATTTTCTTGGTCACGAGATAACAGGCAATTTTTACTCACCGGCACAGCGCAATATTAGTGCAATTCAGAACTTCTTTAAGCCCACTTCCACCAAGGCCGTAAAAGGATCCGTGGGCATGGCTAACTTTTTCCGCAAGCCCATCCCAAACTTTACACATATAGCTGCACCGCTATATGCGTTACTGAGAGATCGTGCCAAATTCTTTTGGGGAATAGAACAAGAAGAAGCTTTTCAGCGACTCAAGCATTTGCTCGTCTCCANTTAGTGCAATTCAGAACTTCTTTAAGCCCACTTCCACCAAGGCCGTAAAAGGATTCGTGTGCATGGCTAACTTTTTCCGCAAGTCCATCCCAAACTTTACACATATAGCTGCACCGCGTTACTGAGAGATCGTGCCAAATTCTTTTGGGGAATAGAACAAGAAGAAGCTTTTCAGCGACTCAAGCATTTGCTCGTCTCCAAGCCATGTTTGTCCTTCCCTCAAGGTAAAGAGTTTCTTGCACACGGATGGTAGCCAGAAAGCCGTCGGTGCGGCTTTATTCCAGACAGCCTCGGATGCCGACCAAAAGCAACTAGTGGCAGTTGAGTACTTCAGTAAGTCCCTCTCTAAATCAGCAAAAGTGGAGCCCTACTCACATTGAGCTGTTCGCCATTATAAGCGCATCGAGATTCTTTCGCACCACGATTTACGGCAATCATACGACCGTCTTCTCGGACCACCGCCCACTTACCTTTCTGCTTCGACACAATAAGACGCACGACGATCTGGCTCGCTGGGTGGTTGAACTGCAAAGCTACGACGTCACTATCGAGTACATGAAAGGTTCATCTAACGTAGTCGCTGACGCGCTTTCTCGAGCAGCGAACCCCGAAAACAAATTTCAGGACAACACTGCAGGGGCTGGAGACATTGTCGATTTTCCGGTTAGCATCAACTTAACATTGGCGTCAACCTGCTCCGTGCGACCAACTATTCATTGTCTTGGCCCTCCATTAGCCATTCGCCCATAC